CATATACTTGTCAATTTAAAGCTGTAAATTTTGCATCACAACAACCTTTAATTGAGAAAGAAACAGCTGCAGACCTGATACGAAATGTCAAGGAAAAGTTAATTAAGATCAGTCTTTTTATTTTATCTCCTAGGTTGTTGAAAAATTAATTCGAGGTTTGGGCATGGAAGACAGCAGAAATATGTTTGCCTTGTTTGAATACAATGGAATTATAAATAAAGCCATTGAAAGTAGAACTGTTGTGGCTGATGTCTTGGCAAAGTTTGAAAAGTAAGTGTGTCATTGATAATAAACAGGGAATTAATATTTCTCCTAACAGCTTTCCAAATATCTCTTACTTGTGTTGATAATATCCCCCTCCCTTCTGGCAAAGGATGCTTTTATGACCCACTGCATTTCTACTATCCAAAAATTTATTCGCATCCCTTCTCATTTGGATTTTGCTCATTTCAGGATTGTCGAGGGGACTTCCTACAAGTAGTGCATCTATAGAAGTACAACCAATCAATTTTGGACATTATAGAACTGAACTTTTTGTTTGTTGATTACATCTCCACTGTTGTCACTAATATTGGAACAAAACTAGTGATTGCAACAAGAACAAGCGTTAGAAAAACAATGCTATGTTTTATGCTAGATTGATAGGCCATTCAGACATACTTCAGATTTTAATGCCTTCAGTATTCATTTATTTTCTCTGAAGCTTTTAGTTATTAATTCAACAAAGCCTTTCCCTACATTCAGTAAAGTACATTTTTCAGGCTTCCACCCAAAACTGAAAAACAGTGACATAATTTTAAGAATTGAATAAATTCTTAATAAGAATGTAAGAACTTTAATAAGTAGATTTCTTAAACTAGCTGCATTTTTTTAGGTTCACAAAGAAGCCCAAATCATATTGAGCTTCTTTAAGTACTGCAATCATGCTATGTACAAAACATCTCTGTAAAAGCATTTTTGAAGCATGCACAGCTTTTTTTTTATTATGCTCAAAAGGGAGGAAACCTTGTATATCAAAATATTGTCTTCATACACACTGATACTATATGAAGGCTTTCATTGTTTTACTAAGTTGTGCTTGAATGTAATTATAAATCAGAAATGTTTAGAATTATGACTTGCTGTTATGAGCAGCCTATTTATACGTACTATGCAATTATATGTCTTAGATTTTCACCCAATGAATCAGCAGAAACGTCACCTTATATGTGAACCTAACTATCATTGTTACTGTTATTAACCAGTATTAAAAATAAACTTCCAACTGTAGTGTCAAACTTTGGCTGACTAAAGGAACAATAAACTAAAAAATTGGGTGTGGCCATATTAGAACGCTTTTGCTTCTTCATTAATTTAATTAACTCCTGCTATTAATACAAATCAAATGTGGTTGACTGAAAATGGTACAGCACTCGCTATTTGAGAATAAGGCAAAGTTCTCATCCTGGTTTACTGTCATGTTGAAATACCACAGTTTGGATTATATAGATTTAACCAGAGGTAAAATAGGTTTTAATTCTATTACCAAGTAATAACAATTGTTGTTGATGTCATTACAGGATTGGTGCCACTTCAGACAGTGACCATGAAGCATGGAAATTTTATTTCAAACTCTACTGCTTCCTAGACATTGAGCATGTACCAAAAGATAGTGTGGAATTTGCATTTATGTTTGAGCAGGTAAAACAAGGAGATTTATTAGACAAAGATGTACTGTCTGTGTCTGTATGGAATAATACATAGTGCCATTTAGATCAAATTAGTAGAGGAAAGTACCGAAAAAGTTATTAGCAAATGATGCTTAAATTTGGGGGGGGGGGTTGCCAGATGTTATCCTATAATAAGATAGACCATGGCAAGTAGCCAGACATACTGTATTGTCTGTCATTAAGAGCTTTGGGAGGAGTACAGTCAATCTGGGAAGACATCACTGTACTCCACCTTATTGGCTAACTCCAATTAAACAATTGGCAACCGTGAACATTACCCAATTTCAGCAATGGGCTGGATGTGGGAGAAAAAGCTAAAATTAAATCCAGACAAGGCACAGGTACTGTTGATAAGGAGAAACTTAGATGTAGGATGGAGATAAGACCTGTTTGAGATGAGGTTGGACTCTCCCTTAGCTGTCACTGGATACATAATTTGCAACTCTGACAAGGAATAGTTTGGATCAATTGTTACTAGTGCTGATTACTGTGCTATTTAAAGTCCAGACTCTAGCCAATTTGAAAAGCAAAAAAACTACATATCACACAAATGCAAATACCTCAAGCACTTCAAAGTCCTTCACACCACTTATCTTACTGTAACTTATTTTCTTCCTAGTGTTTTCCCACAAGTGCAAGATCCATTTTTTTTTTTGTTTTGATCAACCAAACGTTGATCCATTGGTTGCAACACAACTTGACCAACCAGCTTGTTGCCCAAGCCTGATGTTGTAGGTTGAGAGAGAGTGACTGGTCCAAAGTATAATACAGCTGGCTTTCATGTTTAGGGCAGGACTAAAATTCAGTCTCCTGGTTTTTAGCCTAGTGCCTTAACTACTACACCAAACTGGGTCTCTAACTTATCTTACTGTAATATTTACAACAATCCACTAAAACAAGTATTCCAAATGATAGCTCCCGGCCAGGGAAGGGGCAGGTAGAATATTGCTGCTTAGTTGATAATCACTTGATGAGTTCCTGGCAGTTGATGAATTCCTGGCAGGTCCAATTCATTTATCAATCTCTTAGTCAGTAGTCTACAGAAACAGATTTAGAATTCAGAATGTTATGACATACATTCCTGAAAAAAATATTGGGTTTTTTTTTTCCTTAGGCACATGAAGCTATGATTCAGGGCCATTTTCCAGCTTCTGAAGAAACCCTCCAGGTCCTTGCTGCCTTGCGACTCCAATATTTACAAGGGGACTATTCTTCATCCAATGTTACAGTACCGGAAATGGAAGATGTCTACCCCTTGCAGAGGCTGAAGTCTCGTATTGTTCAATCCACTAAAATTTTTGTGCCAACAGAGAGGTTTGAGAGGAAGCGGAACAACTTTCTGGAAGGGACTCTAAGGAGGAGTTTCCGGAGCAATTCTATTACTAAGCAGAAGATGGAAGAGGATCAGATGCTTAATATGTGGATTAGGGAGGAGATCTCTGCAGCCCGGACTAGTATGCTTGATAAATGGAAAAAAATGCAGGGAATGACTCAAGAGCAAGCAATGGCAAAGTACATGAATTTAATTAAGGAATGGCCTGGCTATGGGTCAACGCTCTTTGATGTAGAGGTAAGCATTCCAACTTTTCACCATATAATCATGGACTAAGAGGTTATAACCAAGTATTATAATGTGTAGTAGCCAGCAGTTAAAATGTCTGCATTGTAATTTCTACATTCCCTCTTCTCCTGAACTTATTTGCTAGCATGGATGGGAGAACTTTAATAAGAAATTGAGAAAAGGATAGTAGTAGATGATAGCAACATTTCATGTGAAAGAGAGGAAGGGAGAGCATGCCATAGGGAACAACTATTTTTCTGCTTCAAGGTATCATCAGCGCTTTTTTTTTTTTTGTAACAAGGTAACAGTACTGATAGTCCTCACTTAACAACATTTGTTTAGTAATTGTTCGAATTATGACAGCTCTGAAAAAAGCAAACTAGGGCTGGTTCTTGAACTTTACAATCTTCACAGGGTCCCCATGGTCACATAATCTCAACTCAGGTGCTTGGCAACCATCGCACATTTACAATAGTTATAGCGTTCATGGTAATTTAATTACCATTTATGACTTTTGCGAGCAGAGTCAATGGGAAACCCAACAGGAAGTTGCATGTTATGTTCCTATGATGTCTTTTTTAATAACTGCAATTGGGATGCTGGAACTGCTGGCACTAAGCAGGGCCATTATGTGATGTTTCGTTTAACTGTCTCATTGCTTAGTGGTAAGAGTTGCTAGTCCCAATTAGGGTCATTAAGCGAGAACTCCATGTAATCTACACCAGCAAATTAAAAAAAAAAAAGCTGCTAGTGCTCCAACAGCATTAAAATGGAATCATTGTGTATGAATGAAACAGTGTTTTGAAGTGCATGGTAATAGCACTAACAACTCTTTAAAGCATCCCCAACTTTTCTTGGGATTACACAGCTACCTTCTGTACTTAGCACTTGATCCTGGGAAAGATGTGGCTGTTTTAAAGAGCATAGCAGACAAGTGCTATTATCATATCTTTGCACTCTCTAGAGCTCCTGTTTGAAAATAAATCCAAATCCAATCAATATATACATATGCAGTGAGCAGTACCTCAAGATCATTCATACATACTCCATCTTAATTGCCATTTTTCCATACATTAAGTTCAACCATTTTGTGCCCTTTTGGGATTGACATCCAGATATTAGTAAAGTTTTCGGTTTAAGAAATCTACCTTTAAAAGGAAATTGTATTTTGATAAGTTCCATGCCTTGGGTTTTATAAGGTGTTTTTAATAAGCAAGTATTCAAGGGATTTTAATCACATAATGTTTTATTGTGTAATATATACTTACATATCCATTACTTAATTCCTTTTTGGCATAAGTAACATGCAAATGTTTGCAAAGAATTAGGCAGTTGACTCATTAAACAAAATAAAAGACTGAGAAAAATTTGTGGAAGATATATGTTGAAAAATAATACAAAAACTGATAAGGTAATCATTCCAAATTTATTTTAAGAGTTGTAACAAGCAGCAACAATAGTTTATACTATGTTTCCACCATTCATCTTAATGTTATTTTTTTCTTTCCTTAGTGTAAAGAAGGAGGATTTCCTCAAGAGCTTTGGTTGGGCGTAAGTGCAGAGGCGGTTTCTGTATACAAGCGTGGAGAGGGCAGACCATTGGAAGTATTTCAGTATGAACATATTCTCTCCTTTGGAGCTCCACTTGCTAATGTGTACAAGATTGTGGTGGATGAGAGAGAACTGCTTTTTGGAACCAGTGAGGTGAGAGAAAATCAGAACTGAACAAGAATTTTGGAAATCATTTATTCCAATAAAATGCACACATGCTAGCTTAAGCATATTGTTCATCCCTTCTTCATTATTTTAACTGCATATGTAATTTCCTGGCTTTTTATAATCCAGTAGATCAGTGGTCCCCAACATTTTGGGCACCAGGAACCGGTTTTGTTGAAGACAATTTTTCCACCGACCGGGAGAAGGATGGTTTTGGTTTTGCTCAGTCCTCCACTGCTCATCTCTAGCTATGCGGCCCAGATCCTAATAGGCCACGTACCAGTATCGGACTGTGGCTCAGGAGTTGGGGATTCCTGCAATAGATATTTCATTCAGTGTATTTAAATAAAAAGCTACCAGTTTGTTTTACAAAAAATATGAATAGATTTAGGTTTCACTTTAGCCCAAATTGCTTCTATTAAATCATATAATTAAGGGCCAATTTAACAAAAATGTGCTTCAGGTTTTCCTGGCCTGTGTGAGATTGCAGATGTATAATTTTATATTTGCACTGCACGTGCTTCACAACAAAGACAGTAGGTTGAAATGTACACTAACTGATTTTGTTTTGATATTATCTTGGTGTAGGTCATTGATATTGCCAAACTGATGAAAGCCTATATCAGCATGATTGTGAAAAAACGTTACAGCACATCTCGATCCGTGAGTAGTCATGGAAGTCAAAGCAGCTGCAGGTGAAGTCGGAGAATCGGTCTTGTTTCGCCCTCAGTGTTGGAACATCTCTGCCAACCACGCTTTCTCCAAAAATGGTGATCGGCACCTCTTCCAGGAGAATCTGAGCAAGCTTATAATTATAAAGTGCTTGCATATTGCCATACTCAACATGTGTTTATGAACATCAATCCACAAAAACTTTTTTTTACCTCTAGAATAACATACTCTATGCCTTAATATAATACACTGTCTTCTGAGCAGTAAGAAGTGCCTTAAAATGTGTAAGCCCACCTGCATTGACCTATGCTATATTAGCAGAGGGGTTGTGTATCTGAATAAGCCACTTAAGATAGTAAACAGAATGTAATACAGCCATTTTTGCACTAACTGGCTGGTTCATTCATGAGAAAGAAGATTCTGTGTTGGAATGCTGCAGGCAGCTTTATGGACTTTACTGGGCAATGTTGTATTTTCCCCTTCTCCCACAACCTTTCGTATGTGTGCATGGATACAATTCAGGTCAATTCTGCTAACTTTATTCCATGTTTCACTCTTTTAAAATTAAAAGGGAATAATAATGTGCAATGGTGTAAACAGTCTTTCTGTATATTTTAATAATTCAGAGCTATAATTGTCCCAATGATAGAGTGTCTTTATTAGGCTAGTTTTATTTACATAAAACAAATTTTTCATAGCAATTTTTGTACTTTCTTTCAGAGATTTTTTTCGCCCTTTGGTACATATACGTAGCGCATCTATGTTTCTGTACTGCTGTATTTAACTCATGTAGCTGAAAGAAATTGTATTTATAGACTACCCTTAATATGGAAATGTCATTATCAGCACAATATTCAATCATTTGTCTTTAGTCTATGAAGCTGTTTTTAAAAATAGTAAACATTTATTTTAAAAGCACTGCTTTTATGGAATTTTTGTCTCCTGGGTTTAGTTTTATTAATTGTGAAACCTTCTGTAAAAGAAACCTGATTTGATGTCAGGTTGAGGAAGCTAAGATATATATTCTACATATGATTAAATTAGTACGTAATTCTTGACCTTCCTCCAGTCATAGTGGCTTGCAACATAAATATTAGCAGTTTTTTTAAAGCTTCAGTTCCATATCCTGTTTTTCTACAATACAGTATACCTGAAGTGATTTACAGTACTAAAACATCTTACAGAAATTCAAATGGCAAAATCCTCAAGACAGTAACAGTATTGAAATGATACAAACTACATACAATTATTTCTCTTCTGTACCTGATAATTCATTAGTTGGTGCAGTCATTAGCAATGGCGTCAACAGTTATTTGTTTTTATTTTGTCCCATAACTTCTGTTCTTTATGCAGTACACTAAATAAAATACAAAATAAAACAATAGTAGATAAAAACCAACCAAAAAATTTCAGCATTCGAGTTAAAGACAGCCAACAGTAACAAAGTAATATACAATGCAGAAATCACAGTAAAAACCTCGGCAAATAATATGGATGTACATACAGTACTAAAACACGTTTATTTCAGGTTTGAGGAATTAACTGCTGAAAGGACAATTGTATATGCCCTCCCAAGTCTTTACATGAAATGCTTCATAAACGTCATTTATGTCTCTCTTATGTCTCCCCTTGTAAACAGGAAAAAAAGAGGGAAAGGTAGCCTCGGCCATCTGAACATTACAAATTAGGCCCACCTTTAGGGCTTTGGGGGAAAATATTAGGACTTCTTTCTTTGAAGACGGGGTGGGTGGGTGGGTGGGTGAGAGATCAGCATTCTCTGGCACTCCCTGAAATATCATTCTGATAACAATTTAATTGCTACTTTAACAGGTAGTACTAAAACAGGAAATTTAAATTTTTTCATGCTTGCTAGAAATGACTTATTTTTATATGAATGGTTCCCAAGAAAGCCCTATCATCTTCTTGCCAAATTCAACAATTTAGATAACTGGGAAAGATAAGATATTAATTTAAGATTAGAAGACATACCAAAGTTATTAAGAATACATTTGGCACTCATAGTACTAAATTGGAAGACAAATTGGATATGATATCTGAAATAGATCTCATATTTCTGGTGGCATACTACTTTCAATACCAGAAGCATAAACTCAATTACTGGGAACATCAGCAGAATATTACTGTACTCAAGTTCTCCTTGCAGACTTTCCATACATACCTGGATGGATGCATTAACAGGATATGTATATGAGTCCATCTTTGGAAAAAGCTATCCACATTAATAAGCAATACAATTACATTGTTTAAGGACAACACAATTTACAAAACAATGTGGACTTTCGAAATGGAAGAAAAAGGGTAGAGAAAGATGACTGTTTCCTATTTAAGCTATATCTGCATCAGGTTACAGTCTTCAATGTAAAGTCACATACTGTAGATTGCCTTCAAAGGTAGAGGAGTAATCTTAAATTTGCCTTAAGGACCCTGAAAGCTTGCTCAAAAGTCACAAACAACAGTTTTTCATTTTCAGCATTCAACCCCTATTTCCATTGTTAGAAAAGTCATATCTCCTTTCATAAGCGGGAAAGAGAAATTTTACAATAGAGAGATGGCGTTGTCACAGGTTTGATACTGTAGATATGATGGTTCAAAGGGGAGATTAAAATAAAATCTATAAATATGCAAAATGTATAGCATGTTCTTCACAAAGTAAAGTAAATACTCTACAGAATATCTTTGACAATTTTGATTGTCGAATATAAAAAGAAAAATGTTTGGAAGTAAACTTTTTTTTTCCTAGATGCAACTTTAAATTCTGACACAAAATGTTCTATTTGTTTGTTTATTCTTTTAAGAAAAGTTATATGGCCACCCAATTCACTCTCAACGATTCCAGGTGGCTTATTCCAAAAAATCAAATTTTCTTTTAGCCTTTTTAAAGCAGTAATCCATCACACAATTAACAATTGTATTTATCATTTTAATAAAATTTACAGATCTTGAAAAAGTTTGATTCAGATCTGTCTTTGGTACTCTGCAAACACATCTTTTATTTATAGATTTTATTTCGTTTTGAGCAAAGAAAAGACTTTCAGAACTGGGGAATGATAATTAGAATATTTTATCTCAATGGGAAAAAACTGTCATTCTGGTAAGCAATAAAAGGGGCTTGGAAGTAAACTCCACTGGGTTGGAACTGATCTCATAATTTGACTGGCAGTCATCACAATTTGTTGCAGCCATTTGATATCTTACAGCAAAGGCAATCTTTCGCTGTATTAGATCATATTAGATCATATCCTGATAGATCATATTAGAAATAACTAAAGATTACGCAAAGATACTAAGCATGGGATATTATTGTTTACTGAAGAAGGAAGAGCATGACATTAAAATTCTTCCGTGGCAAAATTAAAATACTGGAAGTAAATACATGTTTTACCTGTTAGACTTATTTATAGCTTTACTTATCAAGAGCATTTATCATACATTTGACAACAGTAACAAGACAGAATTAGCCCTCCTCTTCTCTCCACCCACCTCAGATATTCCCCGATGAATGAAGATGAAAACAACATTGAGTGAAGTCGATATAGTGTAATCCAGGTGGCAGCTCTCTCCCCAATCCCATGGGAGTCTTAAAACAAACTTTTGATAAGCAAGATTGGGGGAGAAATGTTAAGTAAATATTTTTGAGAAAACGAAGGCAAGTATTAAAAAAAAAAAAGATACAAGTGCGTGTGGTATGCACTTTTAATATATATATATGTGTGTGTGTGTGTATATGTATATGCATATGCATATGCATATGCATATGCATATGTATGTATGTATGTATACCTGCGTGGAGAGGTTTTGCAAACGGACCTGGACAAGAAAACAGATGGGAAAGAAGAACCGAAGGGGAAAAAAATATCCAATACTGGCTGCCGCGTTATCACACTTCTCATTTTTCTGGCAAAGCAATAAACCATCTGCCTCCATTCGTTCGCTCCTTTTGCTTTTCTAATGGCTGGAGTTTGCAACGTATTCTCGCAATCAATAATACCCTCCCCAAATTTTCCCCGGTCCTCCCCTTTCTCAACGCGCCCCGCTCTGTACACAAGATACACGCGGGTTATTTGCACGCCGCTCAGACCGACCTCACCTTCCTAATCCTGAAACCCATCCTACCCCTCCCCCCCGCCACACACACACACACACACCCTCCACCCGCCCCCTTTTAGCTTTTCTTCTTCTGCACTCTCTTGCACGCTTGGAGACCCTGCCCCCAAAGTAGCCAATCACCAAGACTTACTAGCCCCATCGGAGGCTCCTATTGGCTCCTGCCTTACGAAAGGGGCGGAATAAGAGGCTTGACTATGCCCGGATGTTTTCCAAGCCTCCGCTGGCTCGCCGCCTCTGTCTGGTGTCGGGCGCTGTAAGCGACATGGATGGCGGGGAGGAGCAGGTGATGTTGCCGCCGAGCCCTCTGGAAGGGCCCAGGTTGGAGGAGGAGGAGGAGGCGACGGCGGAGAAGCAGGAAGAGTCGAGCATTGAACCCCAGCCGGCTGCCGAATATTGCTCCGTGATGGAGGCGCTGACTTGGAAGAGGCCGTTCTGCACCCTGGCCAGCTTCCTCTGCGCCAACCTGCTCTTCTGGTGAGCGACGCAGCCGCGCATCTCGGTTCCCCGGATGGTTCGTGTAGACTCCAACAGAGAGTTGCTTCTTCTTTTTCCTCCTCCTCCTCCTCCTCGCCTGGTTTCTCTCTCTCTCTCTCTTCCCCCCCCTCCTTTAGTGGCTCCGCTCTACCATCTGTTCCTTGGCTCGGACAAGAAAAGGTGTTAAGGACGCGCTCATGAAAAGAGTGCTCCTGACCATGTACAGAGTGTTAGGAGGGCTGTCGCCCAGTCTAGGGGGATTGTTGCTAACAGCCGCCGTCCGGATGCTGCTAAAGCAGAGGATGAAAGTAGTAGATCTGTTTCTCTGTGGGCAGGTTTCCATAGGCGATCGCTGCTAACTCTACCTACTTGGCGTATCTGTTTGCTTAATCCTTATAAGCCACCTAAGCCAGGAACCTTCACTTCATCGTGTAATAGTGGATTTCATCATTTAATTAAGGCACAGTAGGAAGGGGTTTTTTTTCTCTCCTCCTCCCTCTTTGTGGAAGAAGCACAACTGGTTTCTTCATCTTTAGGGAAGACGGGCTTTTGTGTTAGACAACTTATTTATCTGGGTTAGGTTTGGATTCTGTTCGAATAAACAGATATACTTTGCTATTTCCGCTTAGCAACTAAGAGCTTCTGAATGGTGGTTTTCTTCTGCATCTCCTCTGTGGTGCCTGATCCTTCCTTCTATTTTCTTTCGCTTCTTCAAAGATGGTGGTGTTGCAAAATATTTCCCTAAGGGACATGCTGGAAAGAAAGAATGGAAGCCCATCGGAATAAGTTAAATGGTGGGGGAAGGGGCAGGGGAGAGAGACTAAGTGGGAAAATGGCTAGAAGAATAAGGTAGTAATTGGCAAGGAATGCAGTGTGGAAGGGGAAGGGGAATCAGCTGCAACTAGATGATACTAGGGACATCAAAAGCACCTAGAGAACGCTTAAAGGAAAGGAGGAGCTAAAACTGACACGGAAATGTGAAATAAAGAAAATAGTGACAGATTCTGCATGTGATCGTTGGTTGGATTTAATTAGTGGGGTGGAGGGCAGAACAGCTGACTGCAGGCAAAGCCATGTGTAAGCAAAGCATACCTGTAGCAGAAGCCAGAGATAGGCAGAGGGAAGTAATAAATAAATGCAGAGCAGAGCTGGGAGGGGACCTGAACAGCAGCGCAAATACATCCTTTAAGCTTCATTTTCCTGCTCCACTAGCAAGCAGGTGCACAGAAAAAAAAACAGTGACAGCACAAAACAGATGGGGAAAAGACCACATAGCAGTATGATGAAGGTTTTCTTGGAATCTATTCTTTTTTTTTTCCCAGCAAATCTTCCTCAAAAAAAATAGAATTTGAAATTGGTAGTGTAAAAATAATGTGTTTGGAAGCTCAAATTAGCTGGCATATTTTAGTGCATCATACTGTGCAAAACGATCCTATGGGGTTGGCTTAAGGCTCAGAGTGTTGTTGTGTTATTCAAACCCAGAAAATTAGATTGAATCAACAACTTAATAATAGGTTCACAGGTCATGTAGATACAGCTACTGTAGTTAGTTGAAATCATCAAGTAAGAATTTAACTCCTGGTTTCTATATAGACAAATGATCCGCATCTTAACCTGCTATCAGTTATATCTCAGAGCTGAAATTCAAAGGGTAGCTGTTTAAATAGTTTGATATTGTCCATTCACCTAACCCTTATCTTTTCAATCTGGTGATATTACAAGTCCAAAATATGAGTTTGTTTGCCAATAGTTATTTCAAATATTGAATGGTTTTCTTGTACTCTATGTTAATGTTAATGGTTACCTCCAAATTCATAATTCAGAGGTAAGGTAAAGGGAAGGAGTCCCTATGGATTTTACTCGGCTAGTCATTGCCGACTATAGGGAGTGGTCCTCATCTCTGTATTAAGGCTGTTGAGCCAGCACTGTCCAAAAACATTTCTGTGTTCATGTGGCCAGCATGACATCACGGAACACTGTTACCTTCCTACCCAAATGGTACCTATTTATCTACTCGCATTTGCATGCTTTCGAACTGCTAGGTTGGCAGGAGCTGGCGTGACAATGGGGGCTCAGTCTGTTGCATGGCGCTCGAGTTTCAAACTCGGCCTGCAGTCTTTCCAGCCAACCAGCCCAGCTTCTTAACTGCTGAACCACCACACCACCCAAATTCAGAGGCATTGTACTTTTTTTTTTCATTCAAGACCTTCTTCCAGCATCAGAAACACTGTTTTGATCTTTCTTATCATAAATATATATTTATCCATATTTATTTATTTTATTAGATCTAGGCACTGTTTTGACTTCAAAACAAGTCTGGGCAGGTCACAGCATCAAAGAAATTACAAAATAGAGTGTAAGTAGAGTGTAAACAAGATGGTATCCATCCAATTAATACAAAACACGTACAATGAGAATCATCATCTTCCTACGCCAAAGGAGGGAGAAAATATTATTGTTCATGACTTACCTAAGTTTGTCATTGCTTTCCCCAGGGACTGAATTCTCCTTCACATTATCCATTTTTACCTTCTGATTGTGCCAAAGAAAACAAAACTCTATTAAAAAAAAAAAAAAAAGAAAGAAAACAAAACTCTATAACACCTTCACTTCTTTACTGCATGTTTGCTAAGCAGGTTAACTGACATCTTTTGTAACAGATGTTGTAACAGATTTTTACTTTCCAATTTTAGTTTCATAATTTAAAGCCTTTTTTAGCTAGCAAAGTAGTTTAAGCACACATTTGTTAGTAATACCACTTTGTATTTTAAATTCAACTGTTATTTCTTTAATTCTGCCATTCTTATAATAAATTTAGTTAAACTGAGATGAGAATAGCATGTGTTCTGATCTCACTTTTCTGTTCAGAATAACTGTCAGTTCTTACAGTTCTTTTTTTTTCAATTTTTTTTTATTCAAAATGTTAAAATACAAGATGAGACAAAAAAAGAAAATGTGCAAAAAAACCACACATAAATTGTCCCCCCAATTGAATACTGATATATTTCTAGAATAAAAACGAGATGCTGTGGCATACCCGTTAGCCTTAGTATGTGCCAAATCTTGCTGTAGTCTAGGGGTTGGCAACCTTAAACACTCAAAGAGCCATTTGGACCTGCTTCCCACAGAAAAGAAAACACCGAGAGCCACCAAACCCTTTTGACATCCAAAATGAAGATAACACTCCATATATTGTTTTTTACCTTTATGCTATGTATAAAAAAAACTATAATGTGTTGCATTTATGAAATCAATGAACGGCTACAGAGAAAACAAATTTTTATTTCTGCATGCAACCTAAACATTTTGAAGTCCGAAAAAAAAGATGGGTCAAAAAGCTCAATAAATCACATGCCAGTGGGTGTCACACATTGGTGGCTGTGACGCATATTTTGAGTGACAGGGAGCCGCAGCAGAGGGATGAAAGAGCCACATGCGGCTCCAGACCACTGCTGTAGTCAATAGAGCAACAGTAGGCTATTTTTAGTTACTTTCTGTTTCTTCTTTCCATCTTGTTTTCTGCTCTTTTGTTTCTCTTTTGATTCCCCCCCCCCCCCCCGCATACTGCATTTCTTTCTTCACTCATGAACCTATTATTCTTTGTAAGAACTTATTTAGCCATGTGAGAAATTAGTGGTAATGGTTTAGCAGTCTTCATCATACATTCTGATTTGGGATTCAGACTTGTTTAAATATTTCAGCCACAACCGGCATTTTTCTTGGTAATAATAAATAATTTGCCCCTGCATATTGTTTTGTAGATTTTTTTTATTACTTTTATAAATAATTCAAGGCAGTAAACGTACCTAATACTCTTTCCTCCTCCTGTTTTCCCCTCAACAACTCTGAGGTGATTTGGGCTGAGAGAGAATGTCTGGCCAAGATAACATAGTCGGCTTTCATGCCGAAAGTAAACTAGAACTCACAGTCTCATAGTTTCTAACCTGGTGCCTTTACACTAAATCAAACTGATTTTCTGACTTCTCATCCCAGTTGGAATTTAGACTTCTTTTATAGTAGCTTGACTTTCTTTATGATTGCAGAGTTCTATCTACTGTCACCTCCCATTATTCTTAATTTCACCCATATATACATGACCTAACTGGCAAAGATAACCCTATCAAGAACTTCCACTTTTATCAAAGTTACACAGCAGGTTACTGAGGCTACTGAGTCCTCCCACGATCTCAATTGCTTATGTACTCTAGATTCTAGCTTACATACATGGCATGGAACCAGGGTATTTAAGAGACTGCCTCTCTCTGACTACATCTACCCTTCTCATCAGATCCACCAGGAGAAGCTTGTTACGGGTCTTTCAAATTTGTGAAGGTTGCAAATGTGAAGATTGTTACAAGGTTCCTTTTTCATCGTAACTGTGAAGAGTTGCTAAACAAGGCTTTCCCTAAATATGGATTACTTGCAACATCTCTGTTCATCTTTGCATGAACTGGAGGGAAAAAGGAAATGCTTTCTCAACTAGTGTGTGAATCCAGGGTTATCCAGTTAAAGTGACTGGCAGTTCAGACAGCCAAAAACATCCTTAATTTGCTTTGGAATGGCTTGGCATAAAATGGGAGAATATTTTAATAGTCTTTAAAAGTTACAGGTCTCAATTTCTGATACCCAGCTTCAGAGGCAGTATGCCTTTTAGTAACAAGTGCAGGAGAGGAGCAGCAGAATAGCACATTGTCCCAAAAGCATCTTGCTATCAAAAGAAGAAGATGGGAGAAAGAAGATGCTGAATGGGTTAAGCTTTTTGGTCTTATTGTGTGGGTCTCTTTTTATATATTTAGGGGACTGTGTTGCTTTGATTCTAAGGAGATACCCATCCTGTGCATAGTTAGGCTGCTTAAACTGTATTGGTTGAATAGGTCTTACAATGTGCAACTATGATAATTTCTTATAGAAATATCAAACATTTGGGACAAATTACAGTTTGAAACCGGAACTTGAGCTCCCTCTCCCCAATTAATATGTATTGCTTTCTTTCAAGAAATACCATTTTGAAATGTTTACTGAATTGAAGCTATGGGTAAATCTTTAGCTAATGTTCTAAATGTAGTATCTTAAGCTACCACAGCCTTGTGTCTAATATACCTTACTACTTGAGACAATAATGATACAACCAATACAGTTTCTGTAGCATTTTCTCTGATGCTTCAATCTCCTCAAAATACTCCTATCATTTCATTGATATATGAATTAAACAAAAATGCAAATGAAGTCTCAGTATATGTAGTTTGCCAAAGTTGAGTTAGGATCAGATATGAAAGCCTTTTCTGAGACCAAACTAAATCAGCAGGTTAGAAGAGTGCTATAATCTCTTTTTTCCCATAAAAACAACTGTTGAATCTAATAAGAAACTATTGAGTAATGCATTTGGAAAGGGAACTGATGTTCAAGGAAATATAACATGTCTTTTCATGGGTCTTCTTTGCTCTGCATTTTCTTTTAAGAAGATGCCACTAGAAAATGTATTTTCTTTTTAAAGAGTCGCACATTATTTGCAAGAATTCATTGTTAGATCTTTTATAAACATGTTCTATATAATTACATCTGTCAAAAACAAAACCTGACTCTGTGTTAGAAACCCACATTAAAGAGATAAATTTACACATCACACTAAGCCAACATTTATTTAACAAATATCTTAAACAATATAGTCTGGTTCATATAATGCAATGTCATTAACTTTGTTTATAAGCCACAGCTGATGGGCTTGCACATTACATTAAAGCTAAACCAAACTTCATGATGACACAGTGTGATGTATACATCTTCTGACTGGTTTTTTAAAAATATTGGTTTCTGAAGATTTAAATCTAGAATAAAAAATTTAAAAATAACATTTAATTTTTCTCCCATCCCCACAAATTCAATAATATTCTTCCAAAATCATAAGAGTGGGCCTATAAACAGTCACATTAAATTCACAAAATTTGGTTTTGTTTTAAATTGATTTTGATTCCTGGTTATTTCATGTAGCTTTTTAAGGAAGCAAGACTCTCTAAGCTCAATTAAATGATTCTAATATAATTCTCTTGTAGGTTCCTAGCACTAACTCCTTGGAAATTTTACCACCTGGTTTCACTCATACTACTTGGAATAGTCTTTATGCAAATGATGAAGGAATTAGTGTTGTCTAGACTAAAAGGTAAGGTTTTGTTTTTCTACCTAGTTTAGCATGTAAAGTTATATCAGTAAAGTTTGGAATCTAATCAGTATCTCTTTGTCCACCTAATTTAGAAATTACAGTCTCAGGTAATCTACCTTGGGTGCCACATAAGTAAAAGAGTTCCCTCCCTCTCCATTCTTAGTTTTATTTTAATTGAATTTTGAAATCTAAGATCCTTCTTTATTGTTTTAATCTTTTACATTGCATTTTATCCAAGAAGTCTAGAGTCATCTTTGGCAAGATGGGCGGCATACATGTTAAATTTATTTATTTATTGCTTAATATTGTGATTAGATAACCTATCAGCTCACTAAGAGAAACGGCTCATATCAACTAATTTATCCCCGAATATATTCGGATGTCAGTTCCTAAATTGTAAAGTTCATATTCACGTAAGCATTTTTGAAAGTTTGTACAGCGTTACATGATTTCTTTCCCTACAAGAGCCAATTCCTATGTTACATTTGTATAGCTTAATTATGATCTGAATATGGGTCACATACATGTGTGTGCGCATGTGAGAGAGAGAGAGAGAGAGAGGTTGGTTGGAAGGGACCTCCAAGGTCCCTTCCAACTCTGTTACTGTTAAACTTGATGGCTCATAAGTAATGTATTCTAGGCCACAAAGGAAATACTTTTGCTTTGATTATTTATCCTATTCTGATTTCAGGTGGGCAGTTATGGCGACGTCTCACTGACTAGTAAGTGCTGCTGAGTTACTCCTTATTCCATCTATAAACTTTATTTTACCAGGGACTTTTAAGTATCAGAATTTCCTCGTAATTTTCATAAATTTAATACTACTATTATATTTTCCTGTGATTCAGAAGAATGTTTGTTTACAATTTCAGATTTCCCTCTTAATAAGTTCTAGCTAAAATGCTAAAGCGCACGTGCTTCAATGAAAGTTAGTCTGGGTAAATTTTCGGTGAATTTTCTTTTGCCAAATTCCTTTAGTAAATGACTATTTGGCATATGCTATAATGCACTTAAGAATCTGTATTCCATCTGAGATATGATGTCAGTACAAATGCTATAGTAATAAGGCATATCTAGATGTGGAACAAAAATTAGCACCTCTATATCACCCTTTACTTTTACCTCTCGTTAGCAAGAGAAACAAGATTACTGAATTGTTCTACTGTTCCTCTGAAAGAGCTTGGCAGTATTCATAGTTTTAATCATTCGTGATAGAATCGCATGGGATATGTTCAGCCAAGAGAAATTGCAGTGCCAAAGTTGTCTAGGATGATTCATAACTGAAAGGATATTTGATGGAAAGATGTTCTCCGTATGCCTAAATTAACACCTATAACTGTTGTAGCAAACTGGGTTTTGAATGCATAGAATGATATACCCGCTGGAGAATAGATAGCAATGTGAAAATTACATTTCTGACTTGGACTCAAATTTCTTTTAACACTATTGCCTTGGTTGTGACTATTCCTCTTGTTCCTCAAGTTCATTCCTACTTTCCATTACAGCAAGGCTCATGTTGACCCAGGACACTATTCCAAAGATGGATGCCTGCAGAAAGGAAACATCCTTGAAGTGCCATATTGATTATATTGGCAATAATTCAAGAGTAGGACTCAAGGAGTGTCTTCCTTAATAATTCTTATTGGATAGGCAGAAACTCCGGGAAATAGACAGCTGTTCTGACCTAGGCTTCCTGAGACAGTAAAAAGCACACAATTAGTCCCAAAAACTCTCTTTTTATTTCAACCGCTGTGAATTATGTTCATTTACAGCCTGTAATGAGTCACAAATAGTTTGTAAAGAGTCCGACAGAAGTCTGCCACAGTCCTTTGGGATAAGGCTGATAAGCCCCCACCTTTATCTCCCTTGACATGCTAATTGGCAATTAGCTTTGCAAGGCCACACAGAGCACAGAGATAAAATAGAGCTTCAGAATTAAAACCAACCAGAACGAACAAAGTTGCTTCCTGCAAAGGCTCATGTCCCTTTGCTCCACTTTTATGTCTTATGGGAGGAGCCAATCATCTCCAAGCCTTATTCCTGAGTAGCCCATTTTGTCTTAATTGTTCTTGCCTTCTGGCAGCTCTGCGCATGCAGGCACTGTTCCTCTGCCTCGCTGACGTCAGACTCTGGAGTCAGCACATGGCCTGGCCCCATCTCTGCCTCCAACCCAGAGCCCTCGTCTGAGCCTTCCCCAGACTCCAGAACTGGCCCATGTTCCTCCTCAGCCTCCTCACTGTCCAACTCTGCTGCCAGCTCCGCAGGCTGCCAGCAAACCACAACAACAGCTCCCATACATCTAAAGGATGTTCTAGCTTTTTTTAAAAAAGTATTTAGAAAATACTGTACTGTACTTTGTATGTATGTGTATAGTGATTGAATGAAGGTTCAGGCTTTCAGAAGTTGTCAACCAGTTTTATCATCTTTTTTTTTTAGCATACTGGTGAAGACAGTTCATGTTAGCTTCATTTCGATTTGTCTTTCAGTTTCTGGGCACACTTCCTCTAATGCTGTAGTTCTAATATGTCTATATGTGTGCATGGATGTATTTTTCTTAATACGGAAAAAGATAGTGGATTTATTTGTTTATTTAAAATACATTTATTAAAGTTTACAAATACAAATATGAAAGACTAATACAAAGAAAATGAAAAATAAATAAATAAATAAATAAATAAATAAATAAATAAATAAATAAATAAATAAAATAATTTTATTTCTATACCGCCCTTCTCCCGAAGGACTCAGGGCGGTGTACAGCCTATTAAAAACACAAAGACAAACATCCGTTAAAAATAATTAAAATTATTACATAATTCGGCTGAAATTTAAAACCCCAAAAATTTAAAACCCAATTTAAAAATCATTAAATTGATAGCCCAGCTTGGCAGAACAGCAGGGTCTTGCAAAAAGTGCAAAGAGATAAAAAGAAAAAAGGTATATACATAAGATGACTGCCCCCTACTTCCAGACAAGTACAAACAATTTCATCTTCTTTAGTATTTTAATAAAAAAAATCTTCCCATAGCTCACCCCTTATCAATAATCAAATTGTAAAAAATTATCATTCAGTCCTAATTAACAAAGATCTATTAAGTCAGAAATAGTAACAGATATAATATATGTATTTTACATATATATGACATATATACTATACCATATGCATGTATGTATGTACTGTATACACAAACACACAAATAAACATTACAGGAAGGTGATGAAGCATTCCAAACATCCTTTGTGAACACTCCAAAACAGTAAGCATGGACAAAAGATAAACCATGTGATCCCTTTTCATTCCCAACTTCCCAGTATTCATCAGTAAAGATTAAAAATGTTTAGCACCGTTTCCTGAAGTTGCTTACAATTCTCAGCATAAAACATGACTATATTAAGACAAATTCTGTTGCTGCCGTTCTTCAAAGTTTCTTCAATAAATACTGGGGAAAGTAGGCTGGAAGCTTCCCATGCCATATCCATACTTTTGAGCATCAAAAAATTAGAATGCTTTTTTAGTTGGAAGCATGGCAATTTGCAGGAATGCTTACTGAAATATTCTTTTCTTTTTTTCTCCCGTCTATTCCAAAGAATAAATTACATTCTTGGTAATTTGTGTGAAGATCCTGAAGAGGGCAGTAAAGTGTATCAAATATGATGTACACTGTATGTTGTAAGAAACAATGTATAGGCTTTTATGTAATTACATATATGGCATTTCCTCAGTTTTCTTAAGCAGATAGCTAGATGATAGACAGGCAAACAGATATAATAAACACATATACAACACATTTATTTCAATCTACAATTCTTGTTACTCTTATTCTATTGGATTTTCCATAAAACTGGATTATAAATAATTCCACTGATGCCTAAGACTGTGAGAAGATCATGGTTTAAGTGTTAGATCCTTTACTTCTTCATACCTTTCAAATTTTGATTTTTATATTATAACTTCTAATTTTTCACTTCTATTTATATTCTATAAGAATAAATAGTTTTAAACCATAGGAAAAGAAAAAGATACATTATGAGTTTTGAGAGCCAGTTTGATGTAGCAGTTAAGTTACCAGGCTAGAAACTGGGAGACCATTAGGCCCAAAGCTAGCTAATTGACCTTGAGCCAGTCACTCTCTCTTAGCCCTAGAAAGAAGGCAATGGCAAATCATTTCCGAATCTTACAGGAACTAGGCATGCAGTCGCTAGGTGTCAACACTGATTTGAAGGTAGAAAACAAAAGCATATGAGTTGCCTTTGTTCATTTTTCATACAGGTAAAAAAATTAATTTTATTAATACTTTCAAATTGTCATCCAGCAGTAGTATAAGTAAGAAGAGTGTGCAGGATTGAGGACTGCGAAGGTTGGAAGGGTTTCTGTCAGCATAGTCATTGATGAAGAATAATACACTAGCCTCCTGACCTTTACTTGTAGCCTGGCTTGCTAAACACAATTATTTATAAAACACTAGCAAGTGTTACAAAACACTCTCTTTACAGAAGGCACAGCATCCGGGTTATAATGATACTAGAGGGTGTGTTTTCCATCAGAACATCTGATTAGTTGCTAACTTTGGCAGGAATATCCTGGCACAAGTTGATCACAGCATGTGAATGCTTCAGCAAAAAAACATGTTTATTTTCTTTCACAATTTTTCTGCTTAAAGCCTGACCTCATGCAGCTTTGTATTATGCATGGAAATAAAGTGTTGCAACATATTTTCTGTGAAGTGGGTTTCTCAAGTAAACAGAGACATGGTTTGTTTATGTACCAAAAATCAGTGAATGTTTAAATAAATGTGAAATATTTCTGGCACATTCTGTATGTCCTTTGATACCCTTAATCATATAGCAACTTGGTCCATGTTTAAGTCATTGGCCATATTTCTGAAGGACCTATTGGGCATGATAGAATTTACATGAGATGAATTCTATTGTGTAGAAAACAATGTGTGACTTTTATAATTACCACTGCGTGTGATCAGTTATTTCATTTTATAATATACTATATACCACCCAAACTTGTATTCTGGCATATTACAATAGTTACATATTTATGTTACCAAATATAACTCATTTTCTTTTAAGTATTTAGATCATATTAAATCAGTTCTTAGTGCTTACAATGTCCTTGAAGGGAAGGAAAATAGTTTGTTTCATTATTATACAATTAACTTTGGGAACACTTTTAGGGAAGTTTTCTGAAACGAAAAAATAATTGTTCCACATAATTTGGGGGGGAGGGGAGTGTCAAAACAAACATTTTTCAAATGTTAGGAGAAAAAGAATTTCTTTCCATATTGTTATTCCTCTCTTCTCTCGTATATAATGTAAGAAATATTATAAACACTACCAAAAGAGTGACATTTTTTAAAAGTGTGCAACAATATAGACAATTGACACATTAGTTCTTAGCAATATGCTATTTAGGCTTGGATTCAGATTTCTGCAGAAATCAATTTCTCGGGATTGTCCATAAAATGTAGTTATTGCAAAGGAAAAAAAACTTACAGTCAGTGACATTAAAGATGTTAATGAATGTGGGTATTACAAACTGCCTAGAGTCATAAGGGTCAGGGATGGATTCTACTTAACCTTTACTACCGGTTTGCAACGGGATCGCATGTGCGCTTCTGCACATACGCAGCTCACACATGATGACATGGGTGGGCGGAGCCTCCCACCTGTTTTACTGGCTCTATAGAACCGGACCGAACCGGGAGCAACC